TAGTGGTAGCTGGAGTCAGTTGGGATTCTCGTGTGCGGGACCTCAGTGCCATCTCTCTCTCTTCCTCCCTCTCTTCATCCCTCCCATCCTTCCTACTCTCCTCTTCCTTCCACTTGCTCTCTTGAGAAAGGTAGACGTACTTCATATATGGTGACCCAGGACCCCCCAAGGCGCAAAAGCGTAAGTTGCCAGGTTTCCTTAAGGCAGAGGCCTATCCTTTCTAACTGCTTCGGCAGAGGATCAGTTCCACCCTGTAGCTGTGCGTGTGGACTGCCCTGCAGTCACAGGCCCAGCTTCTGTGCTTGGGGAGAGGACTGTATAGGGATGTGAGTACCGAGCTGTGGTTCACTGGGGGTCACTAAAATTAACATGACCTATCATGTAATAAAGATTTTCTTTCTGAAAGGTGTTAAATAAGCATTAGAAAATAGCTTAATCATAAGAGAGGTAAGAAGAAAATGCAGCAGCCCTTATGAGTCCATACATGAGTCAGACCATTAAAATTCTCTGCCACTTTATTAGCTCTGCAATATGGTCAGGTTCATCTCCCTGACTCATACGTTACTCATCTTCAGACGCTTTCTTCGTAGGGTTGTGGTAGAATTTAAGTAAAACCGTTGATGTAAGTACCTGGCACACAGTAGGTATTCAGTAACAATACAGTAGATCTGTATTGTTATTGCTGTAATTATTTTTAATGATTGATGTCTTGGTGTCAGTGCAAAGACAAATAGCTAATGTAGTATATGAATTGAGAAGAAACATTTTGGTTAGCTTCTTCAATTTCAGTTGACTGTTTGTATCTTTGTCTTTTATTTTTGATCATTATGTTCTAATGTTGGCTAATGGTGTTTAAAGCCAGTGTCTAATTTAAAAATTTTTCAGTTTCCTAGTTGCAAAACAATTGGGAAAATAAATTCTTAGATTAAACTTGGAAGATAAAAATTTCTTTTCTTCTGTAAAATCATGAAGATGCATGTTTTAGAGGAGGTAGAGAAGATTCCAGTTACTTAACTTCCTGAAATACACATTCTATTCTCTTCTGTCCTGTCCTAGCTTATCCTTTCTCTTGATATAGCAACTATATAAAAAATATGTTTTGGGGGGATTAAGCAACTACAGTGGAAACTTTGTAAATAAGTATTTTTTAAATTAAAAATTTTTTGTAAGTTTTGATGGTCTGTTATAGTAGAGGTTTTAGTGGGAAATTGATTCAGAATATTACCAATCAAGATAAACAACATATATTAGTTTCCTTTTTGAAACCTTGAGTTGTGCGTCATTTGTATTTGGAAGTCTGCTACAAACCATCTTGGGTTTTTGCCCCAGAATGGCTAGATAGCATTTGGGGCTGAGCGTTGACTACCGCAGGATTCTTCCTGCAAAGACAAGAAATACATGTTACATCAGGAAGTGACTCAATCAATACCTAATTTACAGGTCTACCTGGGAACTCCTTAGGATAGGATCTGTAAGAACTAAACAGCGTGGCTCATGGAAAGACTACCGTCCTTGGAGTCAGATTGTTTCTGGCACTGGGAAGCATTGGGGAAGTTATCTGATGTCTTTTAGCTTCACTTTCTTCAACATAAACCGTACAGACCCACCTCTCAGAGCTGTTATGAAGATTTAATGACCTAACCCTGAGTCCATTGGACCATGATACCACATCAAATAGGAAGAAATTCACTCAGTAGTGAAATCCATTTTTTTTTAAAGCTTCATAAAGCTAACTAAGCAAACATACTTGGTCACATGATTGGCTTGAAAGGTGACCAAGGCTTTAGATTATGAACTGTATCTCAGGGAGAAGAAAATGTTGCCAAAGTTGTATCAAGTTTGAAACAGCAGTGGTTGGGGTTCTATGAACAAAAGGGAACAATTTACACTGAAAGTACAGGGGGTGATTCTGGAAATGGATTCTCCCCGCCCTGGCCTTCTCACAGCTCTGTGTTCACATACTTCCTTTTTTTTCTGAGGTTCTGAAACAAAACAAAACATAGGCCCTGCAACAGCTTGAAGGAGCTTTTGAATTCTTTCTAAAGAGGAAATTGACTTTACCTAACCAATGCACTTCCTGTGTGTGCTGTATCCGTTAAAGAGCGAGATAGGCCCTGGTTGGTATAGTGTTCACTGCAGAATTTCCTCTTGGTGATGGGGGTGTGAACTATATTACAGTGTTCCCGCATGTTGTCCTCGCTCATTTCTGGTATGTGTAAGGTCTGAGTCACCTGGGGATCTTGTTATAAAATTCAGGGTCTGAGTCAGTAGCTCTGGTGGAGCCTGAGATTTTCTGCGTTTCTGACAATATTCCAGGTGATATATCAAAATCATAAGACACTCTCTCCCTGGTTCTTTCAATAAGGTCTTAAAAGCATACACAATGAACTTTATTTTTATTCAACAACATTTATTTGCTTAGTGCTAGAATGTTAGGGCCTTATTCTCAAGGATCTCACAGCCGAGTGATAAACCAAATCAAGCACATTTTGAGTATGGTTTTATTTATTTTGAGAGACAGAGAGAGAGAGAGAGATCTATTTGTTGTTTCACTTATTTATTCATTCACTGGTTGATTTTTGTATGTGACTGACTGGAAATAGAACCTACAACCTTGGTGTGTCAGGGCAATGCTCTAAAAAACTGAGCTACCTGGTCATGGCAAGTATGGGCCCTTTAAAAAACAAAAACAAAACAGTCCTGGCTGGTGTGGCTTAGTGGATTGAGTCCTGATGTGAACCAAAGGGTTGCTGGTTTGATTCCCAGTCAGGGCACATGCCTGGGTTGCAGGCCAGGTCCCGAGTGTGGGATGCATGAGAGGCAACCACACATTGATGTTTCTCTACCCCTCTTTCTCCCTCCCTTCCCTTGTCTCTCAAAATGAATAAGTAAAAACCTTTAAAAAATAAAAAATAAAAAAACAACTTTAACTTAGGTTTTTTTAATAGAAGTTCTTTAGTAACTTTACAGAGATAGTTTAATTATTAACTTAAATAAAGATTTCTCCCTTTGTGATTTAAGAAATTTTATTTTATTTTTTAAAGATTTTATTTATTTATTTTTTAGAGAGAAAGGGAAGGAGAAAAAGAGGGAGAGAAACTTTGTGTAGTTGCCTCTCGTGCGCCCTCTACTGGGGACCATGCCCACAACCCAGGCATATGCCCTGACTGGGAATTGAACTAGTGACCCCTTGCTTCACAGTCCTGCACTCAATCCACTGAGCCACACCAGCCACAGCTATGATTTAAGGAATTTTATTACTGCACACATAGCTTTCATTGTAACTTCCATTAACGTTAAAAGGAGAGAAAAATGTTGCTATAATCTGCCCATCCAAGCCAATCAAAGTGTTTCTTTTTTGGTATTTATTTGTTGTCCTTGGGCAGGGGTGTCTTTTGTTTTTATGTGGTTGTGAACATTTCTGTAAGATAATTTTGTATTCTGCAATTTAAATTTGGTATTAGAGAATAAATAGGAAGTTCTCTAAATTTCCCTATTAACTGTTGAGATATTGTGTTTTATCCATATTTTCATATATCCTTTCTTGGTGGGTTTTTCTTAGATTTCATATGCTCTTGTTAAAATAAAATTAGCAAAAGGGTTAGGGCAGTAAGCATAACGTCATATGAAACTAATAAGGTTTGCAGAGTAAAATATGTGTTTGCTTTAATTCAACTGAGTGTTTGGCTTATAGTTAGAGTTTCCTTTTTTTAAAAAGAGATTTTTATTTATCTTTAGAAGGGAAGAGAAGGAGAGAGGGAGAGAAATATCAGTGTATGGTTGCCTCTCGTGTGTCCCCCACTAGGAACTGGCCTGCAACCCAGGTACATGCCCTGACTGGGAATTGAACCTCCATCCTGTGGTTCACAGGCTGGAGCTCATATCAAGTTTCCTTTTTAAGTGAGAGAAAGTGAATTGTGTGTTATCTGTATTGTTTTAAAAATCTGGTGTCTGTATAGATAACTGGTTTTTCAAAACTTGTGTAACATGTAAAGACTTTCCTGCCCTAGCTCTGAGAACAGTTCTTAATCTGACTCGTGGGCCTCGGGCACTGTTCCTCAAAGTATGAGCTGCAGAATCACAGATGCACTTGTGAGCTGGGCAGGTCTGGGATGGAGCCCTGCACTCTGAGTGGTAACAGGCAGCCTGTGTGATTCCTCTGCAAACCAGCTTTCAGGATTACTGCCCCCAGCAAGCCGAGGTTGGGATATAAGGGAATTTATAACCTCTGAAATTGAATAAATTCATTTAGGGTATGGATTATTCATTTTTCTTGGAAGTGGATCTATAAATCTCTCATTGAGATTTGCAAAGAGGACCATGACTCAAAAAAGATTAAGTCATTGTCCCAGACGTGTGTTTTTCATGAACGTTTTCTGCCTCTTATGAGACTCTTGGGATTTTAAATAAATTCTTAGTTTTCTTTTGGCATAATAAGGGCATTTTATCCATGAATGGGTTTTTTTGTATTGTGGCTTTCTAATCTACCATTTCTTTACTTCTTTTCAGCAAAATGAATTTTAATCCTCTTCTAATTTAAAATTATTTCTTACTGAAATGTACTACTGCCAAGAACTACTTTGTGCAGATAATACTTTCTAACACTTATTTATTGAGAACAACAGTGTGCTGATTGTTTTACTGAGTGCAACGTATGTTATTTTTATTGATTCCTAACAGCAAACCCCAGGAGGTGAGCATTAGTACACTCATTTGAGAAATAAGGAAATTGAGGCATGGAGTGCTTAATCACCTGGACCCTGTGTCAGTCACCAATTGACACAGTTTGGGAATGATGGAACCAGGCTTTGAGCCCATTCTGTCTCACCCAAAGGCCGGTTCTATGCAAGTCCGCAAGTTCATGTCAATGAATCACATTTGGTTTTTCAGTGAATAGAAGATGATGGCTGTGTAGTACTTTGAAATTATTATAGGTGTTGCTTGTGGATTAGCCTTTTGTAGTGATTCTGATTCTCAGTTTTTATATTATTTCTTTTCAGATCAAAGACAGTGCATCACAGACAAGAGATGTCCTCAAGCAGCATTTTAATGATTTAAAGGGAACCCTTGGGAAGCTCCTGGATGAGCGATTGGTGACCCTTTTGCAAGAGGTGGATACCATTGAACAGGAGACCATTAAACCACTAGATGACTGCCAGAAGCTCATAGAGCATGGAGTTAGCACTGCAGAGGACTTGGTCCAAGAAGGTGGGAGTCCAGGGAGCCTATTAAATGTGGCAAATTCAGATTGACACTATGCTGATTTCTCAGGATACCAGCAGGCTTATTGCCATCTGTAGGGTGCTTAGAATGTTCCTACCTTGGGACAGTTTGTAATGTAGAATGATATATATACAGTGGGGTATCCCAGGGTAAGTGCAATTAAAGTCTTAATTATAATCATTTACAAAATAAGGAATAAATGATATTTCTCAAATGGTTCCATGATAGTATCACATACTCTGTTAAAGAGCAATTTAAAAGTAATTTTGAGCTTCAGATATTTTTTGTAGCCCTGGCTGGGTAGCTCAGTTGGTTAAAGCATTGTCCCCATTCACTAGGGTTGTGCGAGTTCAATCCCATGTCAGGGCACATACAAGAACCAACCAATGAATGCATAAATAAGTGGAACAACAAATCTCTTTCGTTGTCTACCACTAACCCTCCTCCCCTCTTGCCCTCTCTCCTTCCCTCCCCCTCCCTCAGGAAAAAAAATTTTTCAGAGTGTACATGGTTTATAGAATTTAATTCCATTATCATTTTTAGTAGGTGAAGAAATACAATTAATGTTTACTTCTGTAATTGTAGTTATATTTTTGTCTTTAGCCAATTATGTTGATTAAACCATGCCCAGATCTTGCCTTGCTACTTGCCCTCCTTTTTCCCTTCCTTCCTTGTTTCCATCCTTCCTTGCATCCTTCCTATGAGCCTTTGTCAGGTACATTAAATAAAATTTCTGTGCTTTATGGTTCACATGTGAGAGGCATACATGCTGAGAGACCTTGTAGGAGCACAGAAGGGAAGTGCTTAACTCTGGAGGAGTGTATGATAGCTTTCTGTAGGAGGAATTCTACAGAGGAGACAAGGAAGAAAAGAGGTAACAGCATGATTGGAAGCAGAAGTAACATCACGAGAGAAGTGAGTGGTGTATGAGGGATATTTTTGAAGTATTTTAGGCAGCAGAGTTACTCAGTCAGATTTACATTTTCAAAAATGATACTGCCCAGTCTGGAGACCAGATTCCAGGTTGTAAGACTGTACGTAAAAGAGACTAATTAGAAAGTTGCAGCAGTAATCCAGATAGTAAATAATGAGGACAGTGACAGGTGAAGAGAAGGTAGAGCTGATTTTAAGATTTTTTTCGGAGATAGCCCTGGCTCAGTGGATTGATGCTGGCCTGTAAACCAAAGGGTGGCCGGTTCGATTCCCAGTGAGAGCACATGCCTGGGTTGCAGGCCAGGTCCCCAGATGTGGGTGTGTGAGAGGCAACCACACATTGATGTTTCTCTCCCTCTCTTTACCCTTCCCTTTCTCTCTCTCTAAAAATAAATATACAAAGTCTTTTTTAAAAAATATTTTTCGGAGATAGAATTATTCATGATTTTACTGATCAATAAGTGTTGATGATTGGTGATTATTTGGATACATGAAATAGGTTGGAGGAGAAAGGAAGGGATTAAGGGTGACCAAAACCAGCCCGATTTTGTGTGTCAATAGATTGTGCTATTTACTGACATAGGAAATGAAGGAGGAGGGGTAGGTTTTGGAGGGCACTTAGGCATTTGGTTTGGGCCATGGTGACTTTGAAGTGCTTAAGATGCCAAGAGGTGGTTGGGAATGGTGAGTATGTTGCTTAGGAGAGAGAGAGAATACCTGGAGATGTCAGTGTGGCATCACTGATGTCAGGTAGTGGCATAGACATCAAGTTTGAATCTAGGGAAACAGGTAAAACCAGCTTGAAAAGAGGAGGCAGCAGGGGTAGAACTCTAAGGCCTGCCAACATTTAAAGGGCAGTTGGGGGAAAAGAGATCCAACGAAGGCAAGTGAATACCATCCATTCTGCAGATTGAATGCTGTCACTGCTATAGGAGAAAAAGTATGCATGGCTCACAAATCTGTCACTCCAAGGGGAGATCAAACGCCGTTTTGGTCCCACTTAGAAGATGGTACTAGTATTATCTTGACATACTAGTTATATTTTAGTCTTCTCTTCAATAAGAAGTGCTTATATGCTTTTGACCATCACAGTGCCTCTGAAAGAATTTTATTTTATTTATTTATTTTTAGAGAGAGGAGAAGGGAGGGAGAAAGAGAGGGAGAGAAACATCAATGTGTGGCTGCCTTTCACGTGCCCCCTACTGAGGACCTGGCCCGCAACCCAGGCATGTGCCCTGTCTGGGACTCAAACCAGCGACCCTTTGGTTTGCAAGCTGGTGCTCAATCCACTGAGCCACACCAGCCAGGGCTGAGGAAATGTTTTTAGCAGAACCACAGAATGTCTTTCCCTGGAGGCTTTGCTTTTGGAAGCAAACCCAGAAGCAGTTCGGCACAGGTCAGGAGTACACTCCATCACCCCGAGGACTGAGAAATGTTTTTAGTTTAGAAAATCCTGTGAGGCACATACATGTTTGTACAGCTTCTGATACTTCAGTTTTTTTTATACTTCAGAAATATTTTAAATCTCAAACTCTTTCCTGTCTTCCCCTCCCAAGGGACAAAGACTTATTTCTAGAAGTTTGAGGATTTTAAGGCCATGTTCAGTGTGTCTCTGTTTTCCCTCTGGTGAGGGAGAAGCTCCTGTTATGTGACCTCAAAAAACTTGAGTAACTCCAGGGTGCATTCAGATGGAAGAGAGTTCTGGTGGTGGTCTTCGGGCTGTGGAAGGACATAGAAGTTGGTCATATATATATATATACACATATATATATATATATTTTTTACCATCTTTATATAGCATTTTCTTTTTCTTATCCTGTTGAGTAATTTCTAATCTAATATATGATACCCTTTTAGGAAAACATGACTGTATCTTTTGGTTTTATGAGATCCCATGTTGGAGTTGGTAGAAGTTTCTGTAGGAGAGATGGAAAAAGTCCCTGGTTCTTCTGCTTTGCATGTAATTCGTTGACAAGCCACAATGCCTCGCATAGAACCAAGTAGACGTTTCTGGTGAGATGTCACCATTATGGACCCCTTTTCCTTTTGAGCTTAACTTTAGCGTCACTTCGAAAATAGTGTCCACTTTTAGTTTGGGGGGAATTTTTCTTTTAAAGAACTTTAAATTTTATTTTTCAATTACAGTTTACATTCAGTATTATTTTGTATTTGTTTAAAGTGTACAGCATAGTGGTTAGATAGTCATATGCTTTACAAAGTGTTTCCCCCGATAAGTCTAGTACGCATCTGGCATCATACATAGTTACTACAATATTTCTGACCTTATTCCCTATGCTGCACTTGACATCTCCAGGATGATTTTGTTAACTGCCAATCTGTATTTCTTAATCTCTTCTTTACCTCTTTACTCTTTGGGAATTTGTGGCATCACTTAAGAATTATTTGCAAGAAAACCAGAGACCTGCCCAGGCATGGGTTGTGTTGATTACTTACAGTGTGGCTGTTGTTCACTGTACTAGACCTGTTATTTCTGATTGTAGGTGAAATTGCCATTCTTGGCGGTATAGGAGAGCAGAATGAAAAACTGTGGAGCTTTACCAAAAAGGCCTCACACATTCAGTTGGACAGGTAAGAGAGTTGGTGCCTTTGGGGCTTATTTGTAAACATTTAGACTATCTGCCTTTTTCCTGCCCCTTGTTAAAGATTCTGATTAAGGGAGATAGACAATGTATTTTTCAGAGTTTCACTGCTCATTGCCAGTTTTATTAATCAAAAACAGTTGCGATTATAATCTTTGGTATAGCATTACTACAGATTTTCTTTAATTCTAATGTGTAAGATAATTGTTAAGTTTTTAAAAATTTGACCATAATATTGACATGGGGTCATATCTCAGTAAAACAGATCCTTTGGTATAAACCTGACAACTGTGACTCTGCCAGCTTTTCATCTTCTTGCTTAGATTTATTTGGGAAGAGAATCTTCGTGTAACGTCTTGCAAAGCCCCCACTGCCTTGACCATTATTCAGTGGGAGCTTCCCCATTCTAGTATGTGACTGATCTAAAATATTCCTTGTATTTTAAACTCAGTTAAAAGTCTCATAAACACATGAACTTTGTTTCCTCAGCTTACCAGAAGTGCCTTTGCTGGTTGATGTGCCTTGTTTATCTGCTCAGTTGGATGACTCGGTTCTTAACATAGTGAAAGACCACATTTTTAAGCACGGGACGGTAGCATCTCGCCCACCAGTACAGATAGAAGAACTGATAGAGAAACCGGGAGGCATCCTCGTGCGGTGGTGTAAGGTAGGAAATTCAGAACTGTAGAGTGGCTTCAACATTATGGATTTGAGACTTGGGGGCCTTAGTTTTTTTTTTTTATTAACTGCCTTTGAATATTTTCTAATCTTCATGGACAAAAATCTCTTTTGCTTTATAATTAAAATAAAGTCACGGGAAACTTGAACTGAGGTAGCTCCTCCAGTTTGAAATAAACAGTTTGAAAGTACTTATTAAAATCCCTGTATCACAACATTGTTTCCCAAACTTAAACTCTTGATGAGTTAACATCGTTCCCATTTCTGCTTATTAGAAAAGTCAAATGATGATAGTGAATATTGGGTATCAACAGACATCCCTGAAATAAAGGTCTGAAGAATGGTTTCTCCGCACTCTCAACGTTGCTGAGATTTTTTTTGTGTTAAATCAGTTATGTAGGTGAGCTACCATATTTTAGATAAAAACTATGTCCACATGAGTCATAGCGTTTTTGGCTGTTTGACAAATGCATCATTCGGAGGTCAGTGCTCAGCTTCTAGAAACTATTTTCTTCAATGGAATTTTTAAAAAATGAAGGCTTAATGTTGAGAAGTATAAACGTTTTCGTTGGTTCAAAACAAGGATTCTTATTCCAATTGTATTCTTTCACCTGTTGGTGGGTCTGCAGTTTCCAGTTTTGTTTTTGTTTGTTTCTGTGTTGTGTTTTTTTTGCTATAAGCATTATTGTTTCCTAGTATACACATGTAAGTTGTTTTTTTTTTGAAGTGTAGACCTACCTGTTAATTATGAGGACTTAGAGTATAAGGTGTGTGCTAGGTAGTGCTAAACCGTTTCCTAAGTGGTTGTACCAGCAGCAGTTCTGAGTTCCTCCACCTCTGCATACTGACCAATATTTGGCATTGTCACACTTTATATTTTTGCCAATATGATATCTCATTGTGGTTTTGGGTTGCATTTTCCATATTATAAATTTGGTTGACTATTTTAATGTATTTTTGGCATCTTATATTTTTTTCTATAGAATGCTTACTCATGCCTTTTGCTCATTTTTCTGTTAGGTGATTGGTGATCTATTAATTTTTAATGGTCCTTTAAATATTCTGGATATTAATTCTTTCTTGGTTATATGAATGATATAGTTTGGGATTCTTATCCTTGAACTTTAAATGTTTTATCTTTGGCATTCTTGTGTAGAAGACCTGCCATTTCATCAAAGAAAGCAGATTTTTTCCCTATCAAACTGGGAAGTTTAAAACACATGGTTCAGTAAAGAAAAGAAGAGAAATAATGGTGCAACATTCTCTACGACTTTAATGAGAATAGCCTATATTGAGCATAGTTAGCACACGGGCTTGCATGCCAGGCCCAAAATGCCCCCTTTCAAAGTTCTTAAACAATAATGCCAAGAGAAGTTATTCTCTGATTTTTACCTAACATGAAGCCTTTCTCCTTAGGTGGATGATGACTTTACAGCCCAAGATTACAGACTCCAGTTCCGTAAATGTTCTTCAAATCATTTTGAAGATGTATATGTGGGCTCCGAAACTGAATTCATAGTGTTACACATAGACCCCAATGTCGATTATCAGTTCAGAGTCTGCGCCCGCGGAGACGGCCGGCAGGAGTGGAGTCCTTGGAGTGTCCCGCAGATGGGCCACTCCACGTTGGTGCCCCACGGTATGCTGTTGCTTCTCACTCTCGAAGCGTCACTGCGCGTAAGAACACTTGTACTCTGTGCCGTAGGCAGCACGCTGGCAACCCTTTTTCCTAAGGGTAAACCCTGAATTGATGAGACCAACACGGGACATGTCTTTCACCCCCTGCTCAAATTATGTCATGTCAATTTTGCAAAATTTTCAGTACTTCTTATCTCCAGATAAGGAGATAAATAGTGCCACATAGGATTAGTAGCATCCCCTAACACCACAGATTTTAAATACTGTAACTGCAGTATTTGATCCAAACCTTCAATATATATCTAGATAGAGGCTTTTTCTCAAAAGTTGTATGCTGTGAAATTGATATCTTCTGTTGAACAGATTTTGATTCATTTGTTAATTAGTTCATAAGTTAGAATAAGCTCAAGCATGATTTTATTAGATAGGCAATAACACTTATTTGATCTTCCATGCCAAAATTGTATAAGAATAAACTAAAAGTTTTTTTTATTTGTAGGATTAACCATGCCTTATCATAGAAGAATCTTTTCTTTTATTGAGATTGCTTATGACTCCTAAGAGTAGTCTCTTCTACTTCCAAGTTTTATTTAATGTGTCTGTGATGATGATAGTCCTGAAAAGATTCTAATAATTGTCATGCCTGTGCTTTTTAAAGAGTGGACAGCTGGCTTTGAGGGGTACAGTCTGAGCAGTCGAAGGAACATAGCACTGCGGAATGATTCGGAATCCACGGGTGTTCTCTACTCCAGCGCTCCCACCTACTTCTGTGGGCAGACATTAACTTTCAGGCAAGTGGATATTAGACTGTCATGTGTAGGCAGTATAATGAAGGGTAGAGCATGTATGAGCTTTGGATTCAAGCTTGTCCCGACGTTATTCCATTATTCATAGGCGGTGGTACCTTGGGGGGATTTCTCTATTTCTCTTTGCTCCATTTTTCTTATACGCGTATGTATTCATAGGCTTACTGTGAAGATCAACTGAGATAATGTGTTTAAAAATGCCTTGTTTATGTTTGATACACAGTACATACTCACGTTTAGATCTTTTCTTCTTGGCACATAAAGGTAAATAGAATACCTCTCAAAAGTCAACCTTAAGAATTCAGAGGCCCAGAATTTTTTTCCTTTGTGGAATCAATAAGAGTGGTCTCTATGAGAGACAACTTATTAAATGCAAACATGCTAAATATGTAATTCTCTGTAAAATAAAACTGAAAACAAATCTCTGTAACCACCAATTAATTTTTATTTCTTTGTCAATTTCTACCTGTATGAGAAAAACTTTATTTTTGTGCTTTCAGGGTGTCTGAGAGATACTCTCTATGGTCATGCTTCTAATTAGCCCTTCCTGGAAACCACAGCCCAGTTTGATTTAGAAAAGTAGAGCTTACCTGATGTTCACCATGCTCACAGTGCAGCAAACTCGCTTCTGAGTGTCAATTCTTGAGTTCATGAGATTTTATTGTGAATGCTTGTCCCAAGTCCCTCTCGTTCTCAGTCCCTGGTCATCTAAGGCATGGACAGTATCCAAATATGTTATCTAAGCAAATGTTGCCGCATTCTTCGCCAGCGAAGGCATTTGAACTGTCAGCAGTTATCAGATATACTTTCTCTCATTTTTGATACTTCCTCTCACCCCTTACATTATAAATAATGATTTAATAATCAGAAAAATACCAACCGAGAAAGAGAAATAAGGAGTCTAGTGGCTAAAGCCTATTAAGTCATTCTCCAAATAATGAGTTTTCTATACTAATGTACTCCTTTGTTTATGTCCCTTCTTTACAAAAATGCTTCCATTAGTGAATCTCCTAAGAACAAGGTACTTCCATGTAACGATAGGGCTTCCTGAGTTGATAGATTTAGGCCAGATATCTCAGACCGTAATAAGAATAATAGCCCTGGCTGGTGTAGCTCAGTGGATTGAGCACAGGCCTGCGAACCAGAGGATCGCGGTTCAATTCCCAGTCAGGGCACATGTCTGGGTTGCAGGCCAGTTCCCAGCAGGGGATGCATGAAAGGCAACCATACATTGACGTTTCTCTCCCTCTCTCCTTCTCCTCTAAAGACAGATAAATAAATAATTTTTTAAAAAAAGAATAATAATCACAGTAATAATCATTGCAATTAATATTTAAAGAGTATTACTATGTGCCAGGTACTGGTCTAAACATTTTACTTGTATTGACTCATTTGATTCTCACAATCACCCAAGGAATTGGGTGCAGTTACTCATTTTAGGGATGAGGATGCCAAGGCACAGGGAAGTCACTGACCCACTGTCACGTAACTCATGAAGGCAAAATTAGGGTTTAAATCCTGGCAGTCTGGCTTCGGAATCTGTGATCTTAACGACTAGTCTGTATTGCTTCTTGTTTGTCTTCCTGGAACAGTAAACATGATTCTAATTAGTGCTGAAATCTGTAGTTTTTCTGCCACTGTAACCTAATTCTTTTACCTTTTTGTCTTCTATGACCTTTATCTGGTGGATGGTGACCTGATGCTCTACTGCTTTTAAATTCTCCCTCTGTGGCTCTGACCAGTGTGGCTGAGTTAGTTGGGCTGATTTGGTCCTGTAGAGCAAAATGTTGCTGGTTCAATTCCCGGTCAGGGCACATGCCTGGATTGTGGGTTTGTTTCCCTCCCTGGTCTGGGTGCGTAGTAGAGACAACTGATCATTGTTTCTCTCTTACGTTGAAGTTTCTCTCTCTCTCTCTCTCTCTCTCTCTCTCTTTCTCCCTCTTTCTCCATCCCTTTCTCTGTCTCTAAAAATAAATAAATAAAATCTTTAAATTCTTCCTCTGTGAACACAGGGAAGGTCTGATAAGATGGCATACTTAGGTTTGTTTCTTAAGTCATTCAGTAAATATTTATTGATTAAATTTAAATCCACTTGCTCTCTGTGGACAGTAGGCTTCAATAAATCATCAGTTCCCCCTGAGACCCTGGACTGGGCCCTGCTTGGCAGGGCAGTGAACTGAAACTTAGTTAAGCTCAGTATTGTCTTAGCCATACCTTTCCATTTTTCTTATTTTTTTTTCTCTGAATGTGGAATGAAAGTGTTTCCTCTCTTTATTTAAAAGCATTTCAAGTATCATCAATTAGGTCAGAAAATGTGAGTTGGGTGGGCACTTCCATGTATGAGGGAGGGACCGATGGGCCTACTTGAATAAAGGTAAACTTTAATCAGTCGTTTGAGAGGTGTTCCTTGTAGTTAAGAGGAAGGTTGTACTCCTGTAGGCACTGCCCTGTTGCTTAGCCCAGTCTGTTTCCTGCTGAAGTTTCTGGAATGCTTGGAGCTGCTGAAGTCAGAGAAGCCAGTTTCTGGCTGGCTCTTCACTGTCTGTAGAGCCCAGTTTCATTTGGTGCCCTGGTCTGCTAGCAGCCCCTCCTTCCAGGCCTCTCCCTGATTTCCTGTCTCAATATTCCTGCTTTCCCTTTCCTTGCTTCTGAGGTTCCCTGCTCTTACTATTTTTAAATCATATTTTTACTTTTTCTTCTCTGTTACCTCTTTTCTTTAAAATAGCTTCCTTTCAAACAGCCTTCCTTAATCCTAATAGCGTAGGAAGTTATTGTCTTCCTTTCACAGATAAAGAAACAAAAGCACAGGGAGACTAGTGAGTGTCAGTATTCAAAGCCTGGCCATCTGGCCCTGAAGTCTGTGCTCGTAACCATTGTGCTACCCTGCCTCTCACAGGTAACATGAGGTGGTAAATCAAGGGGCATTTGGCTGGCTATTTTTATTAACTTTTTCCTTCAAAGAACATAAAAAAATTAATGTTCCATTTATCTATTGTATAACAAACCATCCCTAAACTTAGAGGCTTAAGACAACAGTCATTTATTTTGCTTAGGAAACTACAGTTTGCAGAGCTTGGCAAGTTCAATCGTCCCTGCTTATGTGGTGTTAGCTGGGGTAGTTTGACCAGGGATGGTGCATCTGTTTCCAAGATAGCTCAATCACACGTCTGGCAGGTTGGTTCTGGTTCTTGGTGTCTCTACCTGTAGTCCTCCAGGAGCTTCTTGGGCTTCCCCTCAGCGTGGTGGCTGGGTTCCAACAATGAGCATCCCAAAAGATGGGAAATGGAGACTGTCAGTTCTTAAGATGAGTCTGGAAATTGCCGGTTTCACTTCTACTACATTCTGTTGCTCAGCCAGTCATAGAATCATGATCCCAGGGAAGGGATCCGCACTTCTGATGGGAGAAGTGTTAAAGAATTTGGGGGCTTTAATTTTAGAAATGCCATGATTGCATTTCTTAGAAATGCCAAGATTAAGTAACCTGCCTGAGGTTGTACAGATTGTTCATAGTGATGCTGAGATTCAAATCCTGGTAGTCTAGCCCGGTAGGACTCTGCTTTGACTTAGAGTAAGGCAGGAGGCCATTGAAGGACACTGAGCAAATGAATGACATGATCTGACAAATAAGTCATTTTGGCTGCTCTATGGAAGATAGTCTGTAAAGTGATATGGGTGGGGAGGGAGACCAATTAGAAAGATGTAAAAATAATCTTGGTGGGAGCTAGTGGGGGCTTGGACCAGGGAGAAGCAGTGGGGGTAATGGTAAGTGATCAGAATCCGGATGCATTTGGAAGGAAGAACTAGAATGATTGACCGAAGGATTGGTTGCAGGATGTCAGAAGGAGAGGAGTCAGGTATGGTTGCCAGGGGTTTTAGACTCAGTAACTGTTAGGGTAGAACTGCCATTTACTGAGGGAGAAGGAGCATATTTCTGGGTGAATATTATTTATTCTTTCACAAATTAAATGTACGTTTCCTATTAGACATACAAGGGAAGGTGGGGAGTAAACAGTTGGATGCGTAATTCTGGAGTTCAGTGAAACAGGCCAGGCTGGAGATATTAACTTGAGAATATTTAGCATATAGATAAGTATTTAAAGCTGTGGAACTGGATGAGAAGAGCCAGGAAATAAATGTAGATAAAAGACATAGTTGGGGAGAAAAGGAGGAACCAGCACAGGATTCTGAAGAGGAGTAGCAAATGAGGAGGGAGACAGGAGAAGTGGGAGCATGGGTGGCCTGGGGGCCAGGCAGAGGGCGTGTTCCAGAGAGTGATTGGTTGTGTCAGCTGCCGCAGATCCATCGGTGAAGGAAGGTCCGAGATCGACCTCTGGGTTTTCGAGGCGGTGACGGACACGAGCAGTTTCAGTGGAGTTGCAGAGGCGAAGCCTTTTCCCAGTGGGTTCAAAAGAGAGAAAGGGAACTTCTGGGACCAGTAGACTTGTGGTAGCACCTTAGCGCCGAATTTTTTCACTTTTTGAATTTTTGGAGTAATAACAAGAATACAGGTGAGAGGACCCATAAGTGGTTTTTCAACAAAACTGTGAGGTACAGAAAACTTACATTCCAAATTAGCTGTCAGTACTTCCTAAGCCACAGCTAGGCAGGAAATGCACTGAAGAAATCATTTTGCTGAGGAGAGAAGTGCTGAATGTGGAGGGGCCAGTGTCAGAAGTCTCCAAACACACAGTCCCAGAGCGAGGGGGCCCCGCCCGAAGCCTGTGAGCAGGACTGTGACTGGCAGCGCTCGAGCGCTCTGCGCGAGGAAACAGAAAAGTGGGGAATGCCCAGGGGAGTCCAGAGTGCATCATCTTCGAAAACGAGAGTTGGGTCTGTTGGTGCCAGTGGTCTGTGAAGCAGCCTTTTGAGAAATCACGCCAGGTCTGGCAATAGAAACTCTTGAACCAGATGGGGTTCCGAGTGTCAGGGGAGACATTGCCTCACAAGCGAGTCACGCCGTAAGGCAACGCGTTCCTGCAGCAGTG